CGCCCCCGCCCCCAACCTAAGAGAGAGACAGGATTTAGAATCAGGATCGGTGCTCGCTGTAGCTCTCCAGTGCTGGCATAATGGATCCGTGACCTGATTTAAACTTGTGAGAGCTGCCATGACATAAATATTTGATGGAACTACAGCTTCCCTTTTTAAGTCTGCTTCAGTTTTTCAAGCTAAATCATGGCAAGGTATTCCTGAAAGACACTTGTTAGTGTGGAGCTGTTCATGCAGTTCTCGGTTCTTCTTTTAGAGATTTTTCTGGCTTCGGGCATCGTTTCAGCCTTGCGTTGTATTTGTGCAAAATCTGAACAAGTACAGGTAAACATGAAATTATATTTGTGTCATAATACGTGGAAAGAAAGGGAGTTAAATCCGTATGCCAGCTCTTACCCCAGATGGGAACCATGCTGTCACTTAAATCGTGATCGCTCCGTGTTTGGGCAGAGATGGTACATCAGGTACAGCCACTGCAGTGTCTCCTCGGAGGGGGTGGATAAAGGTGGTGAAGGTGGGGAGTTTGCTGAATGGTAAACGGTGACTGCTCTGAAGAGAAAACTTCTGTGTGTTTTTAGGGCTGGAAGGAGCTTTTTAAATGGATTGAGTCTGATATCCCAGACCTGAATTTCTTACCCGTTTTTATAAACGTGGACCTTTATCAGAAGAAATAGTTGCTAAAGTAGATTTCTTCTTATTGCAGAAAAGTGTGATTCCCACATGGGCAGTGTTTGTAGGGCTTTACAGGCTGCGGGATGACGGTACCACAGAGGAAAGAAGGTTTTATTTTAAGTTCTGAAAAAAATCAATGTTAAGATATGGAAGCAGCTTAACCTGTAACAGAAACAAGGGTTGCAGCAGCCCTTCTGGGCAGAACCCAAATGATTTGGCCAAGCCAGCAGAAGTATATAGGAATACTTGATCCATTTGGCAGTGAAATAACTGGAAAACCCAGTTGTCTATCCCGGCTCCATGTCCATTCTGTGCTGGGGACGTGTCCCACACCCAGGTATTTGGGTTCCTCCTATTGAAAGGAAAGGGAAGAGTTTGGAAGCTGGATTCTGCATCCACCGACAGCCATCGTCTGCAACACTTGACTTTGCTTTTGGGGTGGATGTGCTTTACTTCTACACAGGCTGTGGTGCCAAGTATGGCGTGTGTTATAATTCCTTTAATATCTTTGTTTTATAAACTCTATTTGTGGGAGAAGAGGGGAGTGTTTTTGAGGTGCCATCTGTCTTGAACTTGAGGTTAAAGTAGACAGCTGGAAAACACAGCTTACCTCTAGCTGCTGCTATCAGATGCAGTCTTTAAAGTGTGAGGCATCTTCTACCGTGATGTCGTAAGTCTTGAAACCACAGATTTTTTTTTAACAATTCAATTTGCAAGTCAGAACAAAGAAAGCACTATCAAATCTAGAAGTCTGAAATGTGGATAAAGCCATGATGAGCTTTCTCATTCTAGACCTTGCATCTGAGCTGTTTTCTTTTCAAGGGGACCAGAGATACCAGCAGATTGATTAATTGCTGTATCGGTGCAAAACTTGAAGTATTAACGCTCTGCCCCTGAATGGCTTACAAATGTAGACTAATGTTGCAACTTCAAGTTCATAGAAAATCTTTGTTGGGAGACATAAAAAAAAAAAAAAAGAATCTTAAAGCAAATGTTGAGCTTAAATTTTGTGTTTAGTGTTTATTCAAAAGATCCTTGCAGCTTTTAAAAACACTTCATCAGATGTGGGTGCTCGATTGTGCTGATGGGCAGTTCCTTTCAAGATAATACTGAACCACAAAACCTTTGCGGTACGGTTGCACTGTAAACAGAGGGTTTTGCTGAATTTCGAGGGAATGGACAAGGACCCTAGGGGCAGAATGTTGCCTGTGTATTTTAAAGGTTACATAGCTATATATAGCTAAGGCTGGGTTTTCTTTGAAAGTAGTCTGATGAGTCCTTATTCAGTAAATTCCAGACTTCTCTTATTTGAGGGGAAAAAAAAAAAAATCAATCTGTGGCTGTTTTCTGCTATTTACCAGTGTGTCTCTTTGCAGGATTCATGAATAAAATTTTCCATCCCAACATTGACGAAGCGTAAGTAAATCCCTAGTGTGTGGTTTTTCTGAGGAGTTTGTCTAATTGTAACTGTATTTTGGTTTCACAATAATACGCTGATGAGTTGAATAATGCTTTCATCAATCTAAGAGTACAGAGTGGGGGATTTGATAGAAGTAGATCTTGTCACAAGTTAACTTTCAGGAGTGGGTCAGGCTGTGGGCAAGACTAGAGAGCTGCATGTTGCAGGCTCTCTTGCAGATGTGGTTTTTGTATTGTAACATGCTTCATTTACAGAAAATTCAAGGTTGCCAGTCCCCCTCCTCATTGGCATCATTTCTAGAAACAAGGAACAGCGTCGGCTAAGCCATAGCTCCCTCTTTAGCTGAAGTTCACATCTATACTAAAATTCTTCAAAACATAAGATGTTTTGCCACATTTTTTTTCAGTTAGGATTTTATTAAGGGGAGCCACCTATGCTTCAGTCTGTCCAGCAGAGCCCCACATGGACCAACTAATTCAGTAATGGCTCCAACTTACTTTCTTTTGTGCAGAGTATGAAGATTCATGTCGTTAAAGGCTGCCCCTCTATTAACCGCAAGACAGGAGTAAATCATAGCTTATCTGAAACAGTGGGGCAGAGGCAGGGCAGGGAAGGGAGGGGGTAGATTATACTAAATCCCCAGAGTATTTTTGAGTGTGACTGTGTTTAATTCCATCCTTTCCGTATGTTTCAGGTCAGGAACTGTATGTCTAGATGTAATCAATCAAACTTGGACAGCTCTCTACGGTGAGTTTGGCATTTCCCCAAAAGCTGATCACGTGAGCATCCTTACTTGGTGTATTAACACAACACAGCTTGCTGGGTACAGATGATATAAGGCCAACTCTTTTTTTTACTGAAGTTTCAGACTCCTCACTGAGCCAAGATCACGTGAAAAATAAGATTTTCATGTGAAAATACTTTCGTAACCTGTTTTTATGCCAGAGAGGTGAAAATGTTCCATAAACCTTACAAAGGATCGCTCAATCCATTGCTTGGCAGTGTCTGGCAACTGCACAACAGTACCCAGCCACGATTCAGCATTGAAAGAGAGGATTGACTGTATCTAAAGTGAAACCTAGTTCCAGCTACCCCATCCATGTTTTGTACATGCATTTGAGCTGGTGTTCTTTGTGCACAAGGCTATGATCCCACTTCTACGGAAGATGGCACCAGAAACCATTCCTGTTTGTCGTGGCAGCATCATTTCATTGCAGGCTAGGAGGTGGTAGTGCATCTAGTGACTGCACTGCTTGCTGCAGAATGTTTTGGGTTTCCCATTAGGTCGTGTCTGGCTATAACTCTCCTTTTTAGAGATATTAAAACGTTAGCCAGTAGCTGAAGACCCATTAAAATAGCATTTAGAGAAAGCTGAAATTGTTAAAAGGAATACAGTTGAGTATCTAGTCTAGGTTGGCTGCATTTTAAAAGTGGACATTCTTCCGATGTTCCAATTATGCTTTGTGGAAGAGTATTCAGGGGAATATGCACATCAAATCGTTCGTGTTCTTCCATGAAAAACTGATTTTACCTATGTAAGTTGAAGTTTTGAAGCAGTTGCTAGAGAGACAAGCTACTTCACCTTCCTCGCAAGCACAATTTGTAAGGAAATACCAGACTTGGTGAATTCTGGTTGGGAAATTGCTATAGCAACTTGTTGAACTTTACTCCTCATCAGAATGCCTGAAGTCCTCATGTCGTAGGTGCATGGCATACACTTCACATGGTTTTGTTGTGAGAGATCGGCTTAGCCGTGACCCAGGTGGTGTTGCTAATGGAGGAAGAGGATGCTCTTGTGTCCTGGGAGGATCTGATGCGAGGAGGAGGAATTAAAGTGGTGTTAGCAAACCAAGCCCTCTGCTGGGGATGAACTTGCACGGTTCAGCCGGCAGCAGAATGCAGCACAGTGCAGCATGTGCTGCTGTCCCAACCCTTAAGTGCCACCTGCAGATCTTGGGGATGGCCGGACAAAAGAAAATCGCTCCAGTATAACTGTGGTGCTGGTTTTTGTGGGTTTTGCTGCAGTCTGGGTTTTGCTTTGGAAGCCATGCATGGATGGGCTCCCTGTTCTGCAGCATGCTCTCACAGACGGTACAGTGGGGTTTCTGCACTATTTCCAAACAATTTCGTAGGAGGGTTTTCTGTGAGAGGTTTCCTAATGAGTGCTGCTGTATTTTTGTCATTGTTATTGCTTGTAAAGGTAGAAAAAACAACTTCGGTGTTTGCTGTGCTTGCAATGTATTAATATCAGCAAGCCTGCAAAAATAATCTCCATTTTTCCTTGTCATGTCAGTGATAGGTGTAAGGTAACTTGAAGGTATCAGGTGTGTATTCTGTAGAGCACCTTCCACAGTAACTGGCGAAACCTGGCATTAGAAAGTGCATTGCTTGACAGTGACCTTATTTCAGACTTCCCTTGCCTTGCCGCAGGCTGCCTTGAAGCTGCAGGGAGGACACTGGGGTGACTGCATTCACTCTGCCCCTTCACTCAGAAGTCATCAGCACTAGAGTGCCTACATCACCTCCGCTTCCAGGGCTTTGCCTCCTTGTCTGAAGTCAGGAGATGGCCCATTTCTGAACGTGAAATGAAAATGAAATAATACTCCCCAGTGCCTCTCAGCACAGCTGTGTTGTTTGGAGTGTCACCCCTTTAAACCAGAGCGCTCCTGCGCTGGCAGAGGAAGTGGGTCAGATAATTCAAGGAGCAACTAAGGTGGAAGAGACCCAGAATAGCTACCAATAAATTCATGAAGACCTCGTGGTTAAATTCCCTCTCCTTTCCTAATGAAGTATCAAGTCCTTAGTGCTATGGTTGGGCTTCCTGCATATGTTCAACTAAAAGCCACTTTTGGGGATTTGAAAGAAGGGGGAAATTAATGAGGTCTCTTAAAGAAAAAAATAAAATAAAATCCCTGCAGTGTGTCCTGTGAGCCATGGTGACCTTCCAGGACTCTGCTTGCTCAGCCTACATGAGACTTTAGTTGTCTAATGGCCACAAAGAGGTACTTGATCTAAGCCTGCTCTGTGGAGAGACTTGTCCCAAGAGCAGGTGGTTTCACAAACTGAAGTCAAATTCTTGCTGATGGTGTCTGAACCCAATCCCTAGGAGGTTTAACTGGGCAAGCCACTACCACAGCAGCAAATATAGAGCATTCTCACTGTTTTTTGTGGTCCTGTTTTGGATTAGGATCCTTCTTCCAGTTGCTGTTGTGCATCATCCTAGAAGCAGCTGGTGGAACCTGGCTCAGTGTGCCAGCCATGGCAAACTTGGTCAAGGTACCACGCGTGCCTTAAAGTGCTTCATCACTGTCCTCAGCCAATATTGGAAGGGGCAACAGCTTCAATACAGCAGAAAGAGATTTCAGGGTAAAAGCACCTAATTTCTTAGGCCTTTCCTCCTGCTCGGCAGGGTTTATGCTGAATGGGTGACTGAGGTAGTCATAGCATAGTGTCTGTATGTCCCAGACATGTTGATGCAGGAGGGAAGAACTGACAAAACTTCGAGTCTCCTTTGATTCTCTTGAGCAAGATCTGAAAGCATGTTCTGAAAGCATGCCCATTGGTAGATTTGCAGAGGTGGTAACGTCGGGCAGTGGTGATGATCTGCCTGGACCTACTGCGCTGCTCTTCTAAGGCTGTATCTTTGCTGGCGATGGAGCTAGAGCCTGGTTTTCTGCAGCTATAGCCCAGAGCCAGAGTAACCGTTTGCACAAGGAGAGCACTTGGAGATCTCTCCCCCTACCTGCCCACGCATTTTGATGAATCCTTTAGAAAGTTAAGGGCTCTGAGGTCCCTGCCCTTCATCAGATCTGGTTGAATTTAGCAGCTCCGTGGGGCTCGGCGATGGCTGGGCTCAGGAATAGTCACACAGCCTTGTTCCTGTAAGAGGCAGGTTGAGATGGTTAACTGCTCACATGGTGGATCCTAGGGAGCGTTGGGCTTCCCTTCTGACAGCTCCACTTTGATCCATGCTAGAGGGACTGGTGATGCTCATCCACAGGCAGGATTCCTCTGCTACCAGGAAAGAGACACTCCCTTTAATTAGGGAAGAAGGGGGGGTCCTGATAAAAGATGTGTAGAATATTCCCAAACAAAACCCAACAGAAAACCCCACATAACGAATGCTGGTCTGCCTGTATCAGCAGCTCTCCAGTGGCTAAAGCGAAACCTGGCGCACAGCCCTGTACTGGGGGTTTAATCTCTGCTCTGTGTGGGTGTGCGTGGTCCTTCTGAAGCCCCCAAGGAGAAATAATGACACAGGGCTTGTTTCTGAACACCCCCACCGCTGAAGTGTGGTACTTGTCATCTTAGGGATGTGGGAAGAGGGTTTCGTGTATCCACAATTACTCATCGGCACCAGAAGTATGTTTCTTGTTGTGGATTATTTAGTGACAGATGCCAACTAGCACCAAGGTGTTAATGTGAGCTCTTCACATTCTGCGAATTGTTTTGAGTTGGAGGAGGGACTTGTTGATTGCTCTTTCTATTAACACAATGATAGAATTCATAGAATGGTTTGGGTTTGAAGGGACCTTAAAGATCGTCTAGTTCCACCCCCCCTGCCACAGGCAGGGACACTTTCCACTAGACCAGGTTGCTCAAAGCCCCAACCAACCTGGCCTTGAACGCTTCCAGGGATGGGGCATCCACAACTTCTCTGGGCAACCTGTTCCAGTGCCTCACCACCCTCATAGTGAAGAATTTCTTCCTTATATCTAGTCTAAATGTACCCTCTTTCAGTTTAAAGCCATTACTCCTTGTCCTATCACTACATGCCCTTGTAAAAAGTTCCTCTCCAGCTTTCCTGTAGGCCCCCTTCAAGGGTACTGGAAGGCTACCTTATAGCCTTCTCTTCTCCAGGCTGAACAACCCCACTCTCTCAGCCTGTCTTCATAGGAGAGGTGCTCCAGCCCTCTGACCATCTTCGTGGCCTTCCTCTGGACTTGCTCCAACAGGTCCATGTCCTTCTTATCTTGGGAGCCCCAGAGCTGGACACAGTACTGCAGGTAGGCTCTCACCAGAGCGGAGTAGAGGGGCAGAATCCCCTCCCTCGACCTGCTGGCCACGCTGCTGGTGATGCAGCCCAGGATGCAGCCCGGTTGGCCTTCTGGGCTGCAGGCGCACATTGCCGGATCATGTTGAGCTTCTCATCAACCCACACCCCAAAGTCCTTCTCCTCAGGGCTGCTCTCAATCCATTCTCTGCCCAGCCTGTATTTGTGCTTGGGATTGCCTAATCAATCTAAAGCGATCATCTAAAGCACTTTGGAAGGTGCTTTATGCTTGAGATATGTCAATTTTAGTCATGGAGCATAAGACATTTAAAGATGGTAATAGAAGGAGGCAGAAGTAGAAGAATTCAGTGAGGGGTGAAGCACAGCGCTTTGTTTTTCTTTTTTCCTTTTTTTTTTTTAAGCCAGGGCTGAGACTCAACGGGAAACAAGACAATTGTGTCCTTCCACTTCTTTGCTTAACCCACAGATATCTGTATCTACGTTGTTGGGATGTCAAGTAGTTTGTGCGGTTAGCTGAGGAGCTGCAGCATACCTCCGGCAGCAACAGAAGCTCTTTTATCAGCCCTGTATGTGCTTCCCCCAATGCCATTTCCTTTATTTCAACTTGCATCCAGATTTTCAGTGCGTTTGCATTTGAAGCTTTGTGCTGCTGTTCCAGTGCTGGTGCTTGCGGGGTGATTAATCAGACTGACTGTGGGTCTGTGGACATGAACAACTGTGTCTTTCACTTGCAGATCTCACCAATATATTTGAATCGTTCCTGCCCCAGCTGCTGGCTTATCCTAACCCTATAGATCCTCTAAATGGTGACGCTGCAGCCATGTACCTCCACCGACCAGAAGAGTATAAACAGAAAATTAAAGGTAAGGGCGTAAATAACACATTGCGGAATGAGTGGCGTTACTGTGATTCCACTCTGGGAGGATGAGGACTGTCTTTACTGCGTGTTTGTGTGTCAGTGCCCCATTCCTTCCCATTACAGGGTCCCCATCCATTTTAAATGGGGGTAGTGGATGAACTGCTGCTGCGGTGTATGCAGAATGTGGGGCAGGGTTTTTAAATCAATTAGCAGACCCTAAGCAGGGAAGGCTGTGAGAAAACTGGGTTAGGATTCAACGTGATTTTGAGAGATCGGAGAAACGATTCAGAAGAAAAGGTGTGCGACCGAAGAAGGGACAAGGAAAAGCGCTAAACTGAAGCGGGAGCATCCAGTTGCACATTTACTGCATAGAAAGTGGCTTGTTAGCAGTCCTGTGGAAAGTGATCTGAGAGTAGCAATCAAGGAATTGGTGATGCTGTTGCAGAAAGCACTTTCGTTCTGTGACAGAGCAGGGTTTTTCGGTAAATCCTTCCTTGCTACTTCCTAGTTCAGTCAAGGCTTAATAGTGCTGTGCCTGGTTCAGGGACTGACATTTAAGAAAGCTGCAGACCAATTAGTAAAGTCTGGCAGGGTGTAACAAGGGCATATGGTCTTGAATATGTGTCTTAAGAGGAGAGAGGGAAAGAATTGGAGGAGTTTAATCTAGAGGACTGAACAGGGTTCATGTCAAAGGTGCCTTCAAAGAGGAAGGGAATGATTTATCCCGTGATCAGCGTGAGCAGGATGTGGTCACAGGCATGTAACTCGGTTGGGGGATCCCAGGCTAAACATTAACAGTGGCTGGTGAGGGTAGGTGAGTGCTGGCAGAGCTGGTGAGGGTGCTGGTGTGTCTGCTCTTGGAAAGGTTGGAAGGACATGTTAGACAAGGCTTGAGGGATAGACTCAGTACCTCCTTGGGATCAGGAAAGGATCCCAGTAAAGAGACTCAAATACTTTGGATAAGACTGGTGTTAGAAGGACTGTCCTAGCAAGCTAGTATGTGAGACAGAAATTGAATTAGTTTTGCAAGCATAAGAAATAAGATAAAAAACAAGAATTGCGCTTTAAATTTGTGCTCTGCCTTCCCTAAAATCTGCTGCATGCAGACAGGAGCAGGGCACCATTTCCTGATGTGACAAGCCTATGGCAAAGCCATGGACTTTACCTCTCCCTTGATCCAGTGAACACAATCATCATTTAATCCAGCGGTGGGATGTTTACAGCCTTTGGCCCAGATTTGGTCTTCAACGGAGTTTTTTAAGAGACCATGACTGCCTGATATTTTTTTTTTTTCTTCCTTCTTTGGTTACTGAATAACTATAAGACTTGTTTGTCCATGGGAGCCCTGCTAGAAAGGTTTGCAGGGCCTGTTCAGCAAGGAGAGCCTCCATGAGCGGCACGATCTAATCTCCTTCCCAGTGTGAGGTGGTGTAGCAGCTTTCCTAACGGAGCGTTGTGAAAGCTCGCTCTTGTTTGGAAAGCGCAGGTATCCCAGAAAGACACGGGATTTGGTGGTGGAGTCCTTCTATGAGCTCTGCCACATCGCTCCAGAGTGGTTAAACCTCAAGTCACTTTGTTCTGATGTGAAATGACTTCATCAGCTGCGATTTTTGTTTCAGGGCAGAACTACAAATGAGGCCAAGCAAAGCCATGATTTAAATACTGAGTTATTCAGCCCACTTTGCTTGACTCCTCTGACAGCTGCATGACAGGATCGTAAGAACTACCCTGCAGATCTGGCCTGCTCAGTATCCTGAAGTCCACTGCCTTTTTTTCAAATGGCAAAGCTTCCAGGCAAAATGGTTTGTCAGATAAAATCTCCAGGGCCAACACGAGGGACTCTTTGGGTGTCCTCTATGCTTTAATGAAACAGGAATAGAAAGAGATACATCCTTGAAAAAAGCAAATAAACTGATGCTAGCCAACAGCACGTACTTCAAGGAAGATCTGAGGACATCCTTCAGGGAAGCTAAATGGGATAGTCTGCTCCCTCGTTTCCATCCTGACAGCCAGGTACAGGCCATGAAGATGATCTGGAGGGAGTTTTAAGTGCTTGCAACATGTCTCGTGTTCCATATACCCAAGAGCCCTCCTTCTGCTGTCTCTTCCCAGGCTTGCGTGACCAGTATAAGATAGAACTAAACACTGTCATTCCTGATATTGTAGCGTTTTTAAAAATAGCCGTGGACATGTTAAAATTGATGCAATGGATTGTAGCAGCTTCTCTGCTCTGGGAAACTCAGTAGTGCAAATACATAATTTATTGCTGCTTTTCTTCATTTTTTAGTTATGAGCGCATAGAACTGTTGTTTGACATAGTGGTAGTGAAGAGATGGGCGTAGGCTTAGAAATGTGGCCCAGGATTTGTAGTTCCTGTGATTCTTAGTATGAGACCCAAACAAGTAAGGATTTATCGTGAAACTTGTAGATGTCCATTAATATTACCAATATACAGCTGAAGACTGCGATTCTTAGCATTAGAGCCTTCATGTAGACGAAGTAGTTCATGGACACAGAGCCAAGTGCTCCTTTAAGATCTCCCTGATAGCTCTTGGTGAGATGGCTTGCCTGATCATTGGCAGAGCACCCGAGGGTGGGCTTCAGATACGCAAAAATGGCTCAACGTTTGCTTGTGTTGAGCTGCTGGGAATTGGTGCTTAAGTCCTGTGTGTGCTGCCTTTCTTTCTCTTTGGTAGATCTAATACGAAAACTTCTTTTGGGAGGGTGGCGGTGGTGAGTAACAGCAGCTGAAGGGTGCTGAGGGGCAGGTTGAGTGTTTGCTGGGGGCAGAGGACATCTCTGGGAGCAGTTCTCCCATCCCACATGTCGGCTCTGAAGTTCCATTAGAGTCCTTTGAAACACCAGTGTGGCTCACGGGCACGTACCAGCCACGGGGCACAACCACAGCTTGTTCTTGTTGCTCCAGGGTTTCAAAACAGATGAATCAAAGCTGTGTTTCCCTGGTAGGAATGGGTGCATAAAGGCTTTCCCTTCTCAATGTGAACAGGCTTCTGTGGAAGACAGTTTGTCAGTATAATTTAGATATTGCTGTTTTCTTCCCTTAATAGACTGAAGCTCCCTGGAAGTTTGACCTTTCCCAGATTAAACCGTCAGAAAAACCCAGCCCAGGGCTTGGTAGCTTTCCTGGGTAGAAGCTGGCATTTTAAGTTTGAAGTGCTTCAAGCTGTGTTTTCGCTTAGGCTCAAGCAGGCCTTTTCCAACAGTAAGAAACAGTGGCTTCCATGTCCAAATCTCAAGTGGCCCAGAGAGCACTTGAAGTAGTCAGTGAAGAAGCACTGCTGGCCTCCTGTCCTGCCATGGTCACTGGCATGTGTCTACTGTGTTTGGGGACTCCTGAGGCAGCTACAGTGTTTGTTTAGGTGGGTTTGGGGTAAGCGTAGAGGGAATGTATTTCTAAGGTGCCCCATAAGGGGTTGCCTTTATCATCCAAGGACACCCAAAGTCTTACAGCAAAGGAACTTTGGTTCCTTTTGCTGGATTGTGTAAGGAATAACAACTCATTTGGGTAAACAGCCCTTTTAGAGAGGGAGATTAATTCTTGGAAAGCTATGGGAAGGGAGTAGCTGGTACAAGGATATGTCATGTTGGCATCCCATCTTCTTAGCTCTGCTAACTACTGCCAACCCACCTTCCTGTGTAAATTCTCTGAAGGCAGGCTGTTTTTTTGGTCCCTCCTTCAGTTAGTCCCTCTCATCTTTAAACCATTAGGTCTGTCACACCAATTCTTCTCACTTTGCAGTGTCCATCTCTTTTGGCAGGTGCTCCCTGCCCCAGACTCTACAACTCCTGTTCGGTACAGGCAAGAGATGTGATCGGGCAGGGCCTAGGCTCCATGGTGACACGGGCTAGCACCTTCCAAGAAGGGGCTTCTCCGTGGCCAGGACCTGAGGATGGAGCACAAGGGTGCTTTTCTGTTGATACTACGTGGGCTCCAGCAGCCTGAGGGCAATCCGAGACCTTGAGCGCTCTGTGCTTCCTGGTGTTTACATAGCTGCCTTCAATACTTTATCAGTTCTTAACAAGTTCTTGTAAAACAGATTTGAACAACTGCTTCTGTAGTCCGAGTGAGCAGGTTAATAATGTATATTAAACAGTCAGACTGAAGCTGCGTGCGTCATTAGATGGAGAAGCTGAAGCTCACTGGGCTCACCTTCCAGGCAGTTCTTATAGCTTTTCCAGGGTGGAACAGGTCTGCCAAGGCCACCAGCTGCTCCATCCTCGGAACTCCTCCATGAAGTGTTGGCTTCGGGTTGCTGTATCCTTTCTATACTCCTGAACCCAGAGTAACATGTTTGGGCTCAGTGTCCCTATGTCAGCTCCAGAACTGTGGAAAAAACCATGATGATGATGCAGATCTCTTGCCGAGTATTGTCCCTTCCACTAGGGTGAAGGATAGAAAAGCAGAAGGAAAGAGGGACAGCTTTAAGAAGCCAGGCTCTGCAAAGCGCAATCTTTAAAACCTGTGTTGTAGCACTTAGTTATCTGGCATTAGATGCATCCTCCTGCAGCTTTGTCAGTGCATCTATCACGATACGGTATGGAATAAAAAGCAGTGATCTGTGCTCCAGGAGGAGAGGTGCTCCCTGTGGACTTCGTTCCCTAGGAGGAGTTAAAGAACATACAGTTGGGATGGCTGCTGGGCTGGGACTGGGATGTGACATTCACGTTTCCACACAGGGGCTCATCTTTGAGCACAAAGGGGTGGTGGTATTCCCTCTTTCTCCATTTTTTCGATACTGCTGTTTGGAGGAGGCTTTGTCGTATTTTAGTACCTTCATATCTGGAAAGATAATGAGTTCTCGACTGTAATTCCCCAACGGCAACTTGAGCACAAGACCCCTCTCCAGCCCAAAGTGCGTGGCCTGCGGTGTGGAGGATACGCTGTCGGGATAGTGAGGTTACATCACTCCTTCACACTATGAAGCTGCTTTCTTAGAGTGAGGGGGAAAAGAGGAGGTCAATAAGAGGAAGACTTGAAGTTGAGGCTGAGCACCCCTTCTTTAGCCGAGTTTTGTGCCAGGCTTTCACCCCTTCTCCATTCTGTACACCTGCATGCCTGTAAGGAATGGGCTTTCTCAGCTCAAAGTAGCCTGCCTGCTGAGGACACCAGCCCCTCCTCAGATCTCTCTGGGAGCCTCCTGCAGCCACGAAGGAAGGAAAGGGATTGCCAGACTCGGTCTGACTGATCCGATCCACTTCGCGTTGCCTTTTTGCTCTGTCCCTCTGCACGGAGGTGACGGTAGAAGCCACGGTTGGCAGCGGTTACTTTACCTGGGTGCAGGAATCCCAGTAAACCAGTTTTCCCACTTGCCGTACAGCTTCCTGCTTGCTCCTGGCTGCAGTTCAAGGTGTTGGTCGGGGTGCCTAGAGCCAGTGTGGTTTGGACCCCGCTGCGAGACACGGTTTCCGTCGGTGACCTGCATTGCAGTAGCCCTCCTCCCCGCAGAGGGCTCCCCGCGGGTCCTTTTCAGCTAATCCTATGGCTGCTGTCTGATGTGAAGCAGGTTGCAAGAGTTGTGCTTTGAAAACAGAGCCTGGGGCCTGTTTATTTCAAGGCTGGGGAAAGGAGCTTTTGCTTTTTATTAAAAAAAAAAAAAGTGCAGCTATTCCTGCAGTAGTCTTCTGTTCTGCTTTCTCTGCCCATCCTTCCTTAAACTCTGCTTATGCAGAGTTTAGTCTGGAAGTTTAGTCTGGCTCTCAGCTTGGCTTCGGTGATGGTTGTTCTGCGCTATCGGTTTAAACTCTAAGATCTTCATTTCTTAGTCAGGCTATATGGTGACATCTTGATGGCTTTTTAGGCTTGTTCTCTAGGTCACCACTAGAGAACTCCTATTTTGGCAGTAAATGGACTCCTGTCCTGTTAAGTGAGATACGCCATACCGGGGAAGACTTAGATTGTTTCCAGCTACGAGTGTGCGTGATGCTGACGTAGGAGCCTTGGGATCATACTTGTTTTCAAGGGTCTTGCACGTCTCTAAGGTCTCCATCAGCTGTTTTCACACGTTGTTGGACAATGCTGCCTTTGGTCTGAGAAATATGGTAACCTATATGACTTATCAAACACGATGTGACCCAACCAGCCGTTAGTCGTAGTTCACCCATCCTCTGACTGTTGAATATATGCTGCTTATATGTCTTTTCTTTTCTGTCACATACAGAATACATTCAGAAATATGCAACAGAAGAAGCACTAAAAGAACAGGAAGAAGGCACCGGGGACAGCTCATCTGAGAGCTCCATGTCCGACTTCTCGGAAGATGAGGCTCAGGATATGGAGTTGTAGTAGAAGAGGCAACCTGCTTTTCAGAGAGACTCTAATTTCCTAACCATGAGAAGCAGACTATAATATTCATATTTAAACAAAGCAATTTTTTTTATTACTAAACAGGTTTTTATGAATAATAGCATTGATATATATATATCACCCTTTAGATCTTGATTTTCTTGGTCATTTCTCGAACCCGAGGTGCATAGCATATTCCCACATTCCATTTTGGTAGCAATATGCAGCCCGAATGCATGCATTCAGATTCCATTTGGCCAAGTCAACTTGTGTGCTACTGAACTGTCAGCTAAAACAGCTGCCCTGGTAGATAGGGAGTTAGCAAAAAGATGTTTGCTTTCTTATTGATGTTTCCAAAGACACCACCATGGATGCTAACGTGGAACAGCGTTTTCTCAAAGTATAATATCTGGGGGATGATATACTAACCGTGTAGATCAGACAGTGGAATAAAAGGTGCTCCTTCAGGTCAACCTTGCTGATCGTATTTACGTGGAGTCACATTAAAAAAAAATAAATAAAATAAAAACAAACGATTCAAATGCATGGAGCTATTCACAGCATTGAAGCTTAAAAATTTTGACTTGGATTTTAAGTCCGTTTTTATATATGGACTCCTGCCTGCCCTTCTGAACTGTAGGGACTGACAACCACTGGTCTATTTGCTTTTGGGACTTTTGAAAGCCTTCATCTGGATGTTATTCACTTTCTTGGTCTGGATTACGAGCTGTTCCCTTTTCGGGAGGAAAAAAAAAAAAAAAAAACAAAAACAACCAGAAACGATGCTCTCTGAAGAGTGCTTTGATTTAGCTGGAGCACATGTGAAGTCAAACTCTTACTTTGTCATAGTTTTGAAACTGCTGCCCTTTGATGGCTTCAAGTTTGCTTTTTTTCTCTTGCTTGAAGTATGGTTAAACACCTCGCAAACACTCTCCATCTCCTAAGAGGGTCCTCTGACCAGATGGATTAGCCTTGCTGAGAGCTTCAGATCCACGAAGACTGGCCCATTGGCTGTAGTCCACGAATCCACCGGCACTGATTTTATTTTCCTTTCCCTCTCCCCCTCCCCCCCCGGCTTCTGCACCAGCTTGGTTAGCCATCTGCTTGTGTGTGTACAACAGGATTAAAATTTCTTAAAAGTTAACAAAGAATATGATCTAGAAAAATTTGAGATGAATAAAAAAAGCCTAAAAGCACCAATTGAGGAAGCAAGTGAATCTGCTCTGTTTTGTTTTGTTTTGTTTTTTTTCCAGGATGCTTCTGAATTGAAATGTTTGATTTCTCCTGGTGTCTTTCAGCAAGCTGAGATTTTTGTTTGTTTGTTTTAACACTATGAAATCTAATATAGTAAATGTCTACCTGGGATGCCGGTATACTTGAATTTGGATAATTGTGCATTTGGATAATTGGAGATTCAAACTAAGATGGATTTTTAAAGCTGAATGTTACCTGCTGTATTCTTTTGGAGGGGTTTGGACAAGATGTTTTAATTTGTGGTGCAACCTACAGGACAGTGCATGGAAAAAATCAACCCACCCTGAGCAACTCTCAAGCAGAGTTTTGAATGTCAGACTGGTACATATGTAATTTTCCCAGAATTGCTTTTTTTTCTTTAGAAATGCCACCAAGTTTTGAGTCATTGGGGTTGGAAGGTTACAATCCTATTTCTAATTCATAAAGCACAATCAATTTTTTTTTTTCTTTTGGGGGAAAAAAAAAAAACCTCTTAAAGTACCACTTTGCTTTAGCATGATTTTCCTTAATAAAAAATATACAAAGAATTTCCTTTATGTTAATTATGGGCATGAATTAAGGGTTTTTCCTCTCCTTTTTCCCTTTTTTATTTTAAAGCAGTAATGTTAGGGCTGTGGCTAGTGACTGTGCTGAAGTTCTCTATCTAGCATTTGTGGCTTGTCGGAAGGGTAATATTAACTATTTAACATGTAATGGTGTACTTAACTCTTATCTAGCACGCTGTTTTTCTCATTACTTTGGGGAGGGAGGGGCCACGTTTTGCTGGCACTGTTTAACTTGCTTACCTGCTGACCTAGCAGTTTGCTTGTGCTATAACCTTTACTGTAGGTGCTACTTAGGAGTAGAGTAAGTGCTGGGTGGTGATATCAGCTTAAAAGATTAAAAAAAAAAAAAAAAAAAAAAATCACAATAAAAATTTGTATTTTTTCAATATTGTATAAAAATAGTGTTCTAATTACCTCATCCCCCTTCCTTTGCAGGTTTTTCTTCCCCGTCACTCCATCCCCTAACTTGGATTTAGTGCATCAAACCGCTCGCACGTTCCCCCCTCCTTTTGTGAAACGTGTATTCTGCTAAACTGGGATTCCCCAAAAAATTACCGGTAAAGCCGCAGTTTGCCAGGGCCAGCTCCTGACCCGAGCGCGAGGATCCAGCGAGGCTCGTGGAGCTTGTCCAGGCTGTGCAGGCTGGTGGCTCAACGGGTCTAGGACCACGAAAACGCTTGTCCCCGGCATTCCCGAGCTGTGGCAAAACTCACCGCCCCGGCACAGAGGGTTGCTGGTGGTGGAGGAAAACCTGGCTGCCAAAATGCTGCTTGTAAAAAATGTCTGTCCTGGATGTAAGATGCTTCAAGGGGATGAGGTGGACTGGGGTCTGCTCTGCGGGTCGGGAACGCCTGCTCCTGGCTGCCTGGCACCCCTCTGCTGCTTCCCCTCCATCACTTTTCACCTCTTTTTTTTTTTTTCCCAAACTGCCCTCTTTCTTCCAAAAGAAACCTCCCCCCCAAACAGTTTGTAAATACAACTACGCCTACGTTGTCTGGAAGAAAAGGTGGAGCCGTATTGAAGCAAAATAGCTCTTTTTTTTGTCATCTTGAGGGGTTTTTTTTTCCTCTTCTTCAGAAAACAGTGTTGTTGTCACCTTGTGCTCTGATGGGTGACAGGAATTTCTCAGCCAGCCCGGGTTGAATTCCCCGCTACCAAAACTTGCCACAGCCCTTTGGCGCTGTTTTGGAAACAACCTTTGGCTTCTATTCCTGTAATCTCTCCTTCTGCCGCCGAGGTTTTTGCGTGATGTGAAAAGCCGACTTGCTGTGTCCCTCGATGGTGGCACCTGGTGCCTCGGGGCCGGTCGGTGACCGTCCGTGCCGAATTTTTCCTGACCCACAGGTCGGTTTGGCGGACGCAGAAGGATGCTGGCGTGGGAACAGGCTGGAGCAGAGCTTTGCTGTCAGCCTGGGAGGGCACGGGCTTGTCCTCCTCCCTCCACCATGTCCATGGTTGAACCCCAACCCATCTCTCTCTTCTTTACGTGTCTACCCATCCCTTCACACGTGCCGGAGAGACGGGACTCCCCTTCCCATCCCCATGGGTGTCGTCCATCGGCAGGGACCCTCCTCGCAGACCGTCGGGAAGGCTGGGAGGTGTTTGACGATTTTCTCTTTTATTTTTTGCTTCTTTTTTGCTCGTCCAAGTTCTGCTGGCACTTTAGCAGGGGTGTTTGCGGCATGAGAAATGGCCATGATTTTACTGCCTGTGTTTGGTACCTATCGTGTGATACTTGAAGAGATCAGGGGTGTTTTGCCCTTGTTTGAGTTGGCTCCTTTTTTTTTTTTTTTTTCCTCCTTTTTTCTCTTCTTTTTCTTGCGTTGTTGATGTAGTGGGCACATCTGCCACCCTGACAAAATGCCTCTTCTCTAAGAGTATAACCTCTCCAATAGTTGTGTATAATTAAAGAACTGTAAACTTTTTTTAAAATAAAATATGTATATACCTTGAAGCTTGGCTGGTGCTTGATCGCTGAGAGCTTGGTCTTGCAGGAAAGACCCTGGGACCTTGCAGCGTTGACTCTGCATCCTACCAGGACTTCACCCATGGCCCATCTATGCCAGATCAAAGCTGTCCCGGGGCATCTTCTGCCTGGAGATGATCTGCTGGAGGTGGAAGCAGAGGTTGTTGCACACACCCAATGCACTGATGGTAGTGCTTGGGGTAGCCGGCTCCTTCTCCAGCTATTTGCAAGCAGTTGTGTGATGTCTTTCCATGCCTGGAGACCACGGCCACGGCCCCAAAGCTGATTTTTAGGGTCTTGGGCTGGAAATGAGGGATCAGTGCAGCCACGGGGCATCCATCCGTCCCTGTCCCTCCACCTGCGCAGCCTCGAAGGGTGGATTTCTTTTGAGGTCTCTTCTTGCAGCAGGACAAGTCATTACAGGTAACGCTGCCTGAGATGCCGCAGCTCTTGTGGGAGCTGTGTTTGGTGTCCTGGGCTGGTAATTGTGGCAGAGGTGGCTGTTTTCTGTATAATCACGCGTAATTTGGGCTTGATGTCATGTGGGGATTGGGATAACGTATACAGGGGATGTGACTGGGAGTGGGAGCAGTTCAAGGACCCCCGAGTTGGCGTTTCAGGGCTGTGGGTGGGCGAGGGAAGGGGACAACAGCCTGGCATGTGTCCTCCTCCTGGTTTAACTTGCTGCAGCTGCTGTCCCAAATTTGCTAGAGCTGAGCAAGACCTTCCTCTCCATCATCTTCCTCCCCGCACCCTTCCCTTGCTCCAGCCAGGCCTGTTTGTCACCCTAGGACCCAGCTTGGCGACAGGGTGGCGGGTCCGTGTCATGCCAGTGCCACCTGCTGCCAGCACCCAGCCGGGCAGCCCTGAGCACCTTCGGGTGAT